GCAGAGATTACACAGATCCAAATACAAAACCTAACCAAAAGGATAAACAAAATTGAAAGAACCAAACAAGTGAAATCAAAAGGCCAATCCAGAGCCAACAAAAGAATACTGAGTGAAACCACCGATAAGTACTGGTGCAGCTGGGGAAAAGAAAAGAAATCCTGCAACACCATTCCTGAACTAAGAGTACCAGAATCCAAGCCCCAGTCTACACCTCCATAACCAAAGAAATGTCTGCTATTGCAGCCAGGCACTACAATGCCATTCAGTACAGAGACCTCACACTCACCCCCAATGAATGGGACCCCCACCTAACAATCATGCACAATAAGATCCACAACTGAGTCCCACTGGAATCCACTGAATTGCCTCTCCCCTGACCCCAAGATGACATTGCCAAAGCCCTGAGCCAATCACCCAATGGGAAGGCCCCAGGCCTCAATGGCATCCCAACAGAACTATATAAGAAGCTAGACATGAGATGGAGAAAAGGGAAAGAGGACAACCAAGGCCTACACATTGTCAGCCTCCTAACTCACTTAGCAAACAACATAGAAAAAAATGGCCTGCACCCAAATATCTGAAGGCTGGATCTGCCCCCTATGTCATATCCGTGCATACCCGACCCCGCCCTGATTTCCGGACCTCCTTCTCCCCACCTCCGGAATCCTACCCTACCGCTGCCCGTTCCGATATTCACCTTCGGTCCTGGCACCACACCACCCTTCACCTCCGATGCCACCCCCACTCCTCCTTCCCTCTCCTCCCCTATCTCCGTCCACTCCAATACTCACCTCAGACTGAACACCACCCCTCTCGCCACCCTCCTTCTACTCCTCCTCATACTCCTCCGCTCCCTCCTCACAACACCTCCACCCTTCCATCATCCTCCTACTCTTCTCCCATCCGCTCCGATACTCACCTTCGGACCTGACAACTCCCCTTTCCGCCACTCCTTCCCTCTTCCCTTTCTCCTCTCTCCTCCCTCTGGTACTCTTCCGCCAACCTCCCGCCAAGTTACGACCTTCCACCGCTGTCCCATACTTTGTACTTGGGCACCACTCGTACCTTTGCTCCGAGCCTTTGTCATAGTCCCTACCTTGGACTTTGACTCCACCTTGGTCTTAGTCCATTGCATTGGTGACCTCATACTACGTAAACACCATTGCCAATATTCCTCGGACTTTCAACCCCGCCTCCGTAAGCTCCGTAAGCTCCGCAACCTCCGAGCTTCGCGGATCACCTTCGGCACTTTCGCCGCTTGTAATGTATCCCTTGCGTTTTCCCCTCATCCCTATTTGGACTGCTGCTTCTTCCCATTCTAGCCAGTTAGTCACCATCCCCACTTCTCACCATCCTCCTGCCCCTCTGGGCCTCGCCCTCCCTACCTCCTTTCAGACATATCACAGGTTCTGTCTTATGACCTTCGGTACCACTCCGCTTCTGTCTACCCTTTGTTCCCGTTCAGACGTCTTCGTTCCGATTCAGATCCCCTTTGTTTCCTTGTGCTTTTGCCCCCTCCATTATATATATCGGCGCTTGTACATACTCATATCGGGCTCAGTCCGAAATCGACCTGAAATGCCCCCTAGAGACTTCCTGCTCGCCTACTGTGAAATTAAGGACCAAAAGGACAAACAGCAATGGCACAGCGCTCCGCTTGAGTTGCTGAGGCCAAGGTCCCTCCACGCTAAGTCTCCGATTCCACTCCGGAGTCGTCTGAATCCGCCCATCTCTAACACCCTATACAAAAAGAAAGACAAAAGGGAAATTTCAAACTACAGACCTGTAACAGTACTCAATGCAGAATACAGGATCATAACAACAGCATTAATGAATAAACTCTCCCCCATTGCCCCCCACCTAGTCCATAAATGCCAAGCAGCCTTTATCAAAGGCTGAAGTATCTTTGACCCGATTGACCTTGTAAACCATATGACAGACCTATGTGAGCTCATAGGTCAGGATGGTGCAATTATTGCTCTCGACCAAGAGAAAGCCTATGACCACATCTGACATGACTATGTCTGGAAAGTCATGGCAAAAATGGGCATACCCCTTCTGTACATATCAGTGGCAAATGGCCTATATGTGGCTGCAAAAACCAAAGTTATCTTAAATGGCATAATAAGCGATGCTTCCTGATAATCAGAGGAGTCTGCCAAGGTGACCCCCTATCATGCCTACTGTTCAACATTGCTATAGAACCTCTCTCTATGGCCCTAAGAGACTCCACGGCCCTCTGCAGCCTTGAAATCAATACCCCCTCCCTCTCCCAGAGGACAATCCTTTCATTATTTGCCGACAATGCAGCAGTCTTCCTCTCCAAAGACAACGACCTAACTGACCTCTTCTCAATCCTAGACCGCTGGTGTACTGCATCTGGAGTGAAATTCAACCATGAAAAAACTGTTGTCCTCCCAGTGGGAACACCAGAACACAGAGAAAGGACTTACAACAAGAGATGCATAAATCCCCCCAAATAATAATTTGAAGACTCAATCACAATCCTGAAAGATGGCCAAACTATGAGATACCTAGGGGCCCAATGTGGCAACAAACCAAACCACAAGGACCCCTGGCCTGCCATCATGACTAACATAGAGAAATCTCTCACCCAATGGAACAAGACCTACCCATCCATTGAAGGCTGCTGGCTTATTACCCAGATGACTATCAGCAGAATGATGCAATTCCACACCCATGCCCAAGGCATGCCCAAAGAATATGAGCACCAACTTGAAAGAAGAATCCACAAGTTCATATGGAACTCCAACAGCCCCCCCCCCAATCAGCATGAATCAACTCAACTGCCCAAGAGACCAAGGCAGGAAAAATGTGCTCAACATTCAAGACAGAAATGAGGTGATCTGCCTAACCAAACTCCAGCAGATCCTTGACAGATCCCCCAACAGACCCCCAGCCTCCAACGCTGCAGAAGCGATACTAATGGCCACCTTCCCCAAAAACTACAACCTAATGACCCTGACCACCCCTACATCCTGTCACGGCCGTGCATTCCGGCCCGTTAGCCGCCCGTCCCGATGCCGCCCGAGCCCGTTCCCGCTATGCGAGCGTGAGCATGAGTCCCAACCTCAGCCCTATCCTCCCTGAGGACTCCCTGCTCACTCCCCTGCTTGCCCCTAGGCTCCCCTACACTTGGCCGACTCCCCTGCTGCTGCACCAACCTTCCCACCCTGAGTCCGCCTCCGGCACCGTGCCCAGTGCGACTCCTCTACCCCGCCCACTTGGCCCCTACAGGGCCGCTATCATCCCCGCGCCCGACTCCGGCCCAACTCCGAGTCCAGCGCCGCTACGATACCATCGCCGCTATCGCGGCCCTACACTCTTTCCTTTATTTATCTGTTATTGTTTGTTTTGACCCTCGGTCATTGCCGGCCGCTATGCGGCCAACCCCGCTCCTTCTTCTTGTTTGCTTCCGGACCCTTCGGCCTCCGGCCCGGGTCCGCTTCCATTCATTTCTTCTTCCTATATATATCCTGTATGATACTTTATTGTACCTTAGCTCTAATATCGATGTGACCATGACCCCTAAGTCCTGACCCCAACAAGGCAACCCCAGTGAGTCCGAAATGAGGGCCAAGAGACAACTAGGGGGCACAGCGCTCCTTTAGAGTCGCTGAGGCCAAATGCCCTACCCTCGGGCCTTGTCTAAGGCATCGCGGCCATCGCGGCCAATAGCGGCCCACATCGGCGACCTTCGGTGCCGACCCCGGACCAGTGTCTAACACATCCTCAACGCATCCATACAAAAACCCTTCCTCAAAACATGCTTCCACGATAGAAAAATCCTGACCAAACTACATGACACCTTGAACATGGGTGCCTAAGACTTGACCACCCTGCTATTGACCTGGAAACCAAACTTAAGAACATAACCTATCAGTGACCACTCAATGATGGCATCCTGTCTAAGAAGAACTCACAACTGCTTCAAAGTCAGAGACCTCCTAATCCAAATGGACGCCCAAGAGGATCCAACCCACAACCTCACTGCAAAGCGATGTGTCAGGGCACAGCCCTCAACCCCACTCACCCTCAGACACCCTTCCCCTCTCCCTATCCACCCTCTTCCCACATCTCCCCATTCCCCCTATCCTTCCCCCTACTGCTTCACACAATGATGCACACGCACGGACCTGTGGGAATGTTCTGGGTGAGCAACTTGCCCGGAAATGCACAGCCACAGCTGCGGGAACTTTCTGGGAGAGTAACTCGCCCAGGACACGTGGCCGTGGGAACATTCTAGGCGAGCTGCTTGCCCAGAACTTTCCCATGGGTCACACCCATTATGGAAAGTCGGCAGCAAGTGGGAACTGTATAGTTCCTAGGGTCCTTTTGTGTCGGCCTCACAGGGGGCTGAGAAGCTTACCCTTCTTCTCAGCTCATTCCCTGTGAAGGCTGAGGCTACCCCCCTCAGCGACTTTGAGGAGTTAGCAGCTGGGGAGAGTACCCCAGCTCCCACACCTGACCTCATCCTCCAGCCACTCCCAGCTGGGGTCCGGATCCTGACACAATGCCAATGCTGACCCTGCACAACCTATAGACAGAATGGCTGCAAGAACCTGGAAGCATGTTACCACACTGCAACAAAGTTAATCACAAACCTTACAACCCACATAGTGATACTCACATCATCTCCCCACTAACCAACACTTCCCAAAATCTGTGAGACTACATGCTATCAGTGACCCAAAAGACATCCAAACATTCAACCCAACACCACGCCACTGCTGTCCACTCCACTACCACTTCAGGATCTTCAGGAAAACTTCCCCCAACTCTCCAGACTCTCCAGACCCCCATCCCCCCTTACTCCAATGTCCTGAGACATAGTTGTCTACATGGACAGGTTGTGCATGCAAAACGGAAACACCAATGCAAAAGCTGGGTATGGCATCTGGTATGGCCCTGAAAACCTGCTAAACACCAGCAACAGAGTCCATCCCCTCCTCCCACAAACAAACAATGTGGGGGAAATGCTGGCAATCCACCACACTGCCTCATACACTGCAACCAACTCTAACCTCCACATTAAGTCCGACTTGAAATGGTGCATTGACACACTCTGCCACAACCTGAACACCCTTGAAGACCTAGACTATATACATGCCAAACATCAATACATCACCAAATTGATGGTAAGTGCCCTAAGAAACAGAACTCACCCAACCTCCTTTGAATGGCTCAAAGGCCACATGGGCATCCAAGGCAGTGAAGAAGCAGACTCCCTGGCTGCACAAGGCACCCAAGAAGCCCTGGACCCAGGCCCACCTGTGAACCCTCCACCTCCTCATGTACCCAGCAGTGTGTCAGGGTCCATCCCTCATCCAGAGGGGACGTAGCGATGAGGCCTGGGAGTGGCACTGGAGAGTCTTCTCCAGCCACTAATTCCTCAAAGTCGCTGAGGGGACTTGCCCTGGGCTTCACAGGGAATGAGTTGAGAAGAAGGGTAACCTTCTCAACCCCCTGTGAGGCCACTACAAAAGGAGCCTGAGAACTGTGCAGTTGTCAGGTCTTTCCCGAGTTTCCATATTAGGTACTGTGGGAAGATTCTGGGTGAGCTGCTTGCCCAGAATGTTCCCACGGGTTCGCGTACCTGTACTATTGCGGAACAGTGGAGGAAAAATGGGAAAAATGGGGGAAGGGTGGTTAGGAGGGGGGAAGGGGTGTCTGAGGGTGTGTGGGGTCGAGGGCTGTGCCCTGACACAGTGCCTGCCTATCCTCCCTGACACAATCCATGGCAACAAAACTAATATGCAGAATGAGAGTAGCAAAAATGACCAAACACAGAGATAGAGTGGCAGGAAGCATCACTCACATACAATCCACCCTCGAGAGCATAGAAAACAACATCCCTGCACAAGACAGAATCTGGAAAAGTTTAAACAGCAACCAAAGGGACACATCCCCGGAAATCAGAAACTTTCTATGGAAACTCACCCACAATTGCCTCAAGATAGGCAACTACTGGTTGAGAATCCCCAAATATGAACACCACAGTGAATGTGAGCACTGTCAACAAATGGAGACAATAGACCACATACTGTTTGAATGCCCACAGAACCATGGCAAAAGGCTTTGGACCATTGCCAAAGCAATATGCGATCGCAGGAAGATCGCCTGGCCAACCAACCTCAACATCTCACTGTCAGGGGACGACCTCTGGGTCCCCATGACCCCTCTCTATGGCCCACAGCCTAACCTATAACCACAGCTGTCATATCCGTCCATGGCCATTATCTCCACCACCTCCAGTCCTTCTGGATTACCTGTCATATCCATCCCTGGCCATCGACTTCTGGTCCCTCCGATCCCTCCATTCCAACTCCGCTCCTCCCTCACTAACCTCGGAGCCCCTGTTATTCCGCAATCCTCTTGGTACCCCTCAATGGTCACCACCCCCTCATTTCAATTTATTACCTATGCCTCCCTAAGTACGGAGCCCTGAAGACTTCCGGACAGCTCCAACGTCCGCTAGCGCACCCCCGCCTCCGCTGGGCAATACAATCGCCTGCCCTGCAGAGCCCACCTTCGGGCTTATCCCTCCTTTCCGTTTCTGGGTTATCGCCTGCCTTTCCGCTAACCCCGCGAACCGACTCATCGGTAATATTCAGTCAGCTAATGGTTAAACCCCGTTAGCTCCGCTCCATTCGGCTCCGCCAATTGCGGAACCGTCTCCGCTGTAACCATATATATATCCCACTTGTACATAGGTTACGCCCCAGTAGAAAAATCAACTAGAGTTACCCCCCTAGGTTCTAATTGCCAGTCAGTAAGTTAGGGCACGGACGTGTCACTAGGCACAGCGCTCTTGGCAGAAGTCGCTGAGGCCGAAGCCCTCCGTTACGGAGACATTCCTTCGTCTCGACCCTGGTCTCTGACATTACCTCCACTCCTCCGTCACTAACCTCGGAGTCTCCATATTCCGTGATCCCCTCCGACACCCCCAATAGTCACCACCCCTTCAATTCAATATATTACCTACACCTCCCTAAGTACAGAGCCCTGAAGGTGTTAGAATGGGTGGATTCAGATGACTCCGGAGTGGAATTGGAGACTTAGCGTGGAAGGACCTCAGCCTCAGCGACTCATGTGGAGCGCTGTGCCATTGCTGGTTGTCCTGGGGGTCCCTAATTTCGGATCTAGCAGAGGGGAAGTCTCTTGGGGGAATTCAAGTCGATTTTGGACTGAGGTTACAAGTTACTAGGTACATTGTATATAAGGAGGGGTCCGGAATCAAAAGGAACAAGGGTAGGATGAAAGGAGACAAAGGGAGATGGAAAGAGGAACAACACTGAGGGTCAAGGGTTTGACTCAATGGTGTTTCTCAAAGGAGGAATGAAGGGCCAAGGCCCAAGGAGGAAGGAAGGAGGATGGGAGTGGGGAATGGCCAGCTGACTGAATAGAAAGGAAGCAGCAGCCCAAATAGGAATGAGGGAGAATAGCGGAATTGGATGGAGCAATGCAATAGTTGCAAGGTCTGACATAAGTCCGGAAAGTCCGAACTCGGAAGTTAAACTCCGGAATATTGCCAAACGTAATTAAATGGAATGAGCTAACCAATGCAATGGGTATAAGTGGAGGTGGGGTCAAAGTCCAAGGTCGGAGCTAAGACCAGAGGTTCCGGAGACGGAGACGCGAACGGGATTCCGGAGTGGAGGTCCGGAGTCAGGAGCATAGGTGTTGTGTGCTCATCTGGAAGGTGTCGAGGATGAGGTCGGACCCGGAATGTTCTGGAGTCGGACCGAAGGTGGTGTTGGAGCCGGAGGTGGGATAACCTCTTGGAAGTCGGCAAGGAGGAGGTGACGGAAGGGGTGATGTTCGGTCCGAGATGAGTATCGGAGCGGATGGAGATAGGGTAGGAGAAGGACAGGAGGGTGGAGGTGGCATGAGGGGTGAGGGGAGGTGTGGTGTCAGGACCGAAGGTGAATATTGGAATGGACAGCGGTAGGGTAGGACTCTGGAAGTCAGGTTCAGAGTTCCGGGAGCCTGGAGCAGAGGTCAGGATTGTATGGATATGACAGAAGGCCTCCAGACAGCTCTGACATCCACTAGCACACCCCCACCTCCACTGGGAAATTTAGTTGCTTGCCCTGCAAGTCTACCTTTGGGCCGTTCCCTCCTTTCCATTCCTGGGTTATAGCCCATCACTCCGCTAACCCCGTAACCCGACTCATCGGTAATATTCAGTCGGCTAACCTATAACTCCGTTAGTGTCAAAGACACGTGAGGAGGGCAGTCCCTGGACCTTTCCCTGGAAGGAGGCTGGAGGTAGAGAACAAGCGGAAGGACTGTGGCCTCAGTGACTCAGAGGGGAGCGCTGTGCCTATGTTCGGTAATGCTTAGGAGTCTGGTCCTTAACTTCAGAACAAGAGGGCATGAACTCTGGGGGGTAGTCTAGTTGTCGATTTTGCACTGAGGTGCCATCAACTACAGTACAGGACTTATATACATAATAGAAGACAAATGGGAACAAAGGGGAAAACCCAAGGGGGACTTACCCACTTGCTGGGTCAGCGAGCTCATGAGAGAATCGCCTTATCAAGCATTGTGGAGTGGGTAGGTGAAGGGTGGAATTAGCAACAGCTACTAGAGAGTGGGAAAACCTTTGCAGAGTGGGCAGAGGTCCTAGGAGGTCCGTAGTAATATTGGGTAGGTAGGAATATTAATAAACAGGTAGGATGAGGGTAAGAGGTACCAGAGAAGGTACTGGAGGTCGGAGGCAGAGGTGAACTGGAGGTGAACCGGAGGGTATAGCAGAGGTGCAGGGGGAGGATGGACCGGAGGTGAACTGGAATGGTGGCGGAGTGGAGCAGAGGTGAGGCGGAGTTGTTATGGATATGACAGTTAGCTTCACTCTGCTCGGTCCTGCCATTCACGGGCCCACCCTCTATGTAACTATATATACATAACTTGTGGATAGGTTACACCCTAGTGATAAAATCAACTAGAGTTTCCCCTCTTCTAGAATCCTTTTCCAGTTAGTAAATTAGGGCACGGACGTGTAACTAGGCACAGTGCTCCTGGTTTACTCACTGAGGCCGAAGCCCTCCACCATGGGGATGTTGTCTTTGTCCCGGATCTGGTCTCTGACAACAGCCCATAACTACTGTGGGTAAGAAAGTGAGAAGTTAACCCACAGTGGCCCCAATATGGCAAAAACTTCCGGGGATACCCAGAAGTCACATGAGGAATGGGAACCGGGCCTGGAGCATGCGGTGTGTGCAGCATGCGGGGGTCCGGGTCCAGGTCCGGGCTAGTCAGGGTGTGTGCCCTGACACTCACATGTGATGGCAGCCCTGATCACCAAGATAAAAACCATGATTGGATGACCAAAGAATGGTGAGACCAGGCTATTCAGAATAGTAGTGCTTAAGTGCACATGGCAGGTGTGGAAAGCCAGATGCTGTAGGGTAATGACCCCTTGAGGCCTAAGTCTCCAGTTCCACTCCGGAATTGTCCACTATTGCCCCATTCTAACAGCAATGCCCCTATGGAATTAAAACTCCTTATTGTGTCCAGAAAGTGAGTCAGGGATCATGTCATGACCCGGCATATCCACCATTTCTGTCAACATGCCCTAGTGCCACTTGGCCCATCCCACCTGCTACCATCATCATCCATCCATCCATCCGTCCACCCGTCACCCTCATCCACACTTCCTCCCCCGTGCATGTACCTTCCAACCAAGGTTGCCTGTTTGAGTGGTTCATTGTTGTCCGCCCACCAGCTGGATGGCTTGCTAGACGGCCGGATGGCCTTTTCTCTTTTGTTCACTTGCAGACTATTGTTCCTCCTTTGCCACTCATTGTTCTTGCTTGCCTTTTGTTGACCAAGTTTGCCAATATTAATTATTTGTCTATTTCTTCATTCACCAACATTGCGCTTGATCCACCACCCCTTCCGGGCCGGTCCTATTTAGTTACTTGTGTTTATAATGCATGTAGGTTACACCGGATGTACCTCAGTTCGTATATCAACTTGGATTTCCCCCCCAGTGTTAGACACTGGTCCGGGGTTGGCACCGAAGGTCGCCGTTGCGGGCCGCTATAGGCCACGATGGCCGTGATGCCGCGAACAAGGCCCGAGGGTAGGGCATTTGGCCTCAGCAACTCTAAAGGGAGTGCTGTGCCCCCTAGCTGTCTCTTGGCCCTCATTTCAGACTCACTGGGGTTGCCTTGTTGGGGTCAGGACTTAGGGGTTGTGGTCACATCGATATTAGAGCTAAGGTACAATAAAGTATCATACAGGATATATATAGGAGGAAGAAATGAATGGAAGCGGACCCGGGCCGGAGGCCGAAGGGTCTGGAAGCAAACGAGAATAAGGAGCAGGGTTGGCCGCATAGCGGCCGGCAATGACTGAGGGTCAAAACAAACAATAACAGATAAATAAAGGAAAGAGTGTAGGGCCGCGATAGCGGCGATGGTATCATAGTGGCACTGGACTCGGAGTTGGGCCGGAGTTGGGTGCGGGAATGGTAGCGGCCCTGTAGGGGCCAAGTGGGCGGGGTAGAGGAGTCGCGCTGGGCACGGTGCCGGAGGCGGACTCGGGGTAGGAAGGTTGGTGTGGCAGTGGGGGAGTTGGCCAGGTGCAGGGGAGCCTAGGGCAAGCAAGGGAGTGAGCAGGGAGTCCTCAGGGAGGATAGGGCTGAGGTCGGGGCTCGCGCTCACGCTCGCATAGCGGGAATGGGCTCGGGCGGCATTGGGACGGGCGGCTAACGGGCCAGAATGCACAGCTGTGACACCTAGTCTCTCTTCTCATTGTCAGGCTTCTGTCTGAAATTGGGACACTGTCATATCCATCCCCAGCCATCGACTTCCGGTCCCTCTGATCCCTCCGGTCTACCTCTGCTCCTTCTTCACTAACCTTGGAGCTCCCGTATTCCGCAATCCCCTCGGTCCCCCTCGATGGTCATCACCCCCTCCTTTCAATTTATTACCTACGCCTCCCTAAGTATGGAGCCCCGAAGACTTCCGGACAGCTCCGACGTCCGCTAGCGCACTCCCGCCTCCGCTGGGCAATACACTCGCCTGCCCTGCAGAGCCCACCTTCGGGCCTATCCCTCCTTTCCGTTTCTGGGTTATCGCC